GGGGTTCAGGGTTCAAGTTTAGGGCTTGGGGCCTTTATTGTTTAGGGGTTTAGGGGTTTAGGGTTTAGGGTTTAGGGGTTTAGGGTTTAGGGTTCAGGGGTTTAGGGTTTAGGGTTGAGGGTGCTGTAGATGCTGGAGGCAGCGTTGTTCATGTTCTTCTTCTGAAGATTGAGCTTGCTACACTGCTGTTGGTCTTGCAGCCACCACGACAAATCCAGAGCGAGATGGTGAGCCTCGAAGCAAGCCCTGCATGCTCTTTCGTTCCGGCTCGGAACCTGAAAGTTTTGCCGCAAATCCTGTGCAGGAAGTGTGCACATTCAAGCCGTGTTCTTTGCACAATGAGGCATGGGGTGTTCGTTAATGTTGGACTGTAGGGCTGCGCTGCGGTTCAACTGAGGAATTCTGGGGCCAGCCTTTCCACCTAATCCCAACATCAGTATACTGGACATGGAAGGGCACCTAATGTAGGACTTTGACCCAGTGGTTCATCCGTCCGTCCTTGGAGCCGGTGAACTGAGTCCGCCTTGAACCGAACAAAGGTTCAGCATTGGGACACCTTTGCCAGGGCCTCGGGGCAACCTTGCGGAACTTCGGAAATCTCGTTTCTTTCTAGTTCTTCCGCCTTTGTAGCCGAGGCAAATGCTCAGTACCTCGGCCGCGAGCACATAGGTGCCGACCGCAGCTCAGATTAGTGGGCGAGTATTGCAGTCAGCTGCAGAATGCCGCACCCAACCCCTAGACCCTAAACCCTAAACCCTAAGGAGTGGATTCAGAATCACGGCGTGGGCGAATCTGCGAAGATGATGGAGCAGCTAGGCTTTGAGACTCTCCAGGAACTCAGCATGTGTTCCTGTGCTTCAATGTCATGAGCTAAAGGCTAGACCACTTCATCCTTTGGGCGCACCACGTGTGGCACCTCGACGTGCAGTCAGTGGGTGCCCTCCAGAAATGCATCGTGAGAAACGAAGTTTAATTGAGTTTACGAACCTGGACCAAGACAGACAACGGAATGAAGCAAAACGACTGCAACTACAGAAAACTGAAAAGAGGCTTGCAAGACGGCTTGCTTGCATGTGTTGACTTCAGGACGGATCCATCGTCGCGTCGCCTTGTGCGAGCATGGAAGCCTTTCAACGGACTCCAGCTCTATGATCCAGAGGCGTTGCACCAAGCACACATTCCGCTGCATTTGCGGGCAACATAATTCTTTTGTTCGTTTTGAGTTGGCCTCAGTTATGCTTATCGCATGCATCATTGCTTTGTTGGTACCTGCTACGATCTTGCATGCCATTGTTTAGACAACATATTTACCTTTACTTCTGCTACTGTGTTGCTACTGTTGGCAACACAAGCAGGTTGAATTTGGTACATGTCACGGCATGCTAGAATATGGACCTGAGTACCCTAAAATCCCAACCGCCTAAACCTTACGCACCCTAACGCCCTAATCCAACCCTAAACTCTATTACCTCCTCCCCAAACCCTAATCCCTAAACCCGCAACCCAAAACCCAAAACCCTAAACCCTGGACATCGTTGTGAGGCTCCTAAGCCCTAAACCCTAAACCCTAAACCCAAACCCCGAAACCCAAACCCCCTCAGCCCTAGGCCCTCAACCCAAAGCCCCTAAACCCAAAGCCTGAAGCCCCTAAACCCTAAGCCCCTAAACCCTAACCCCAACGCCCTAGGCCCAAACTCTAAACCCCTAAACCCCTAAGCCTAAACCCTAAACCCCAAGCCCTAAGCCCCTAAACCCGCAGCCCCTGAACCCCAACCCCTAAACCCTAAGCCCCTAAACCCTAACCCCAAAGCCCTAGACCCAAACTCTAAACCTCTAAACCCCTACACCAAAGCCCCTGAACCCTAAACCCTAAGCCCCTAAGCCAAACCCCTAAGCCCCTAAGCCCGAAGAAGAGAAGGCCTGGGAGGACGATGTGGCCGATCCCTCGGTCTTCGATTCGCCCCTTGACTCAGGGTTTGGGGTTTTAGGGGGTTTAGGAGTTTAGGAGTTCAGGGGTTTAGGAGTTCAGGGGTTTAGGGGTTTCGGAGTTTAGGAATTTAGGGGTTTAGTTTTTGGGGGTTTAGGGGTTTAGGGACGATAAGGGATCCATAAAGGTGGTTAGGGTTGTTCCGGGGTGCAGGGGGTTTTTGGGCTTTCTCCTCACATAGACTTGCAGCTTTGGGGTTTGCGGTCGAGGTCTTAGGTTTGACGCTTTACGGCTTCGGGCTTTGGGGTTGCGGGGGTTCAAGTTCGGGCTTTAGGGCAGGGTTTAGGGTTTAGAGGTTTAGAGATTAGGGGTTAGGGTTTAGGGTTTAGCTGGCTATCCCAGAAAGGTGTGATATGGGTAGTTCTCTAAATTCGGGTACGTTTTGGCGTCCTTTTTATAAGGGTGCCGTATTGTATATCGGGGAGCTACAAAGGGAAGATCTTCTGTTACATAACCCGTTCTATGGTTGTGATTCTATATACTGCAAGAAACGGAAGCTAACGTACTCCTTTTTTGCTACATTTTTAGATCCCAGGTCGTAGATCACTTGAGCTCTTTCTTTGATAAGGACCACGTGAGCATTCGCGGATATTTTGCTTTCTGATATGGGGCTCGGAATTTTCGTAATGGAATGCCGATATAGCCCCTGGAGAACTACCTACAATATGCTCTACTGGGTCCCAGGGCCCTATTGTCGCTTGTGAGGCCCCTACGTTCGATCCGTTTACTGGGATTGTAAGGAACCAAATGCATTCACGTTCCCGTTGATTAAAGCCCTTCACACCTCCCGCGCTTCTGCACATGCCTCGTAGACGAAGGACATGTGGCTGCAATCACTTCTGACCGAAAGCTTATTCTAAACACTGGACCCAACGCCCTGAACCTTAAGTTAAACTCGAACCCCTTAGTCCTAAGTTCCCTAAACACTATAAGAACCCTAAACACGGCAATAACCTACCTGCTTACAGGTTTGGGGCTGCGCGAGTGCCTTCAAACCTCTAAACCACGGTTTAGGGGTTTCGGGTTCAGGGTTGCCTTCAAACCTCTAAACCACGGTTTAGGGGTTTCGGGTTCAGGGTTTAAATAGGTCGAAAGGGCTTTGGCAGTCTAGGGCGCGACGCGCCATTCCCCCTCATTGCAGCTTTCGCTTGAGGCCACCAGAGATTTGCAAGAAGGGCCAGCGTTCCGTGCGCATCAACTGTGATGATGAGGGCAGCTGGGCCTGAACTGCCATATGTTTATCAGTGTACATACATGGATATGCATATCCGCAGATCTCATAAAGAAATACGTACATACATATAATTACATCTATATATATATATATATCTGTTCTCATACAGAACCAAACTTATGCACGTTACATACATACATACATACATACATACATACATACATACATACATACATACATACATACATGCGTGCATGCATACATACATACATACATACATACATACCTACGTACATACATGCATACATACATACATACATACATACATACATATATATATATATACACACACATACACACATATATACAAACAGAAACGGAGGGGCATCTATCTCATACCTGTAAGGCAACTACCATCCGAAGAAGATGGACAACAAGCACGTCCTTGACTCCCTGTTGCAAAGGTGTCGGTCAGATTTCATGTCCGCATGGCCTCGACCTGCGTTGTCTTTGCCTCATGACAGGGCACTCTCCCATGGACCACATGGCATTGCCAGCTATGCTGCTGGTCTGTGGGTGGCGACCTCAGAACCTTGCTCTTCGATGTGGTGGTAGTCCTGAGTGTTCTAGTGGGGGTCCATTGTCCGTGGACGGGGGGTTCTGCAGTCGAAGCCGCGAGGACAACTTGAACCTGGTTGTTTGAATCTGGAGCAGCTGAGTGAGCCATGACGTTTGCAAGTACAGGTGTCTGCAAGCAATGGCTTCCCAACGGCTGTCTGTCGCTCACATGCGTGTGACGCAAAAATCTGCAAGCTTTCTGAGCAAGCCTGCTTTTCATGCGCATGACGGGCTGTCGCTACATGCGGCCAGTCAACCCTGCGACAAAGCTATTGATCGAAATGCTACTTACTTGGAGTAGATTTCAATCGACCTCTCTGTGAAGGAAAGCATTCCAATGAGGCAGCTTGTACATATGTTCCAGCTGAGTCACTGAAGCGATCCTGCTTCGAGTGCATGCGCGCTGCCTTGTCTGGGTGTCAGCTATCGTGGCCAAACGAACAGCTCAGCCACAAACGGGTTCCGACACGCCAATATGCCGGCTTGTGCCGCGGAAAAGTCGAGACTGCCGAAGCTGCCATGCGGATCACTCTTGTGCTGGGTGTGAAAGAAGCAGACAAAAAGGGCAGACGGTCGAGTCAGACCAACACGGGGTGCTTCTAGTGGCTGGGGTCTGTTTCCTGGATCTGCTAACCCCGAGGTGCCAGCCTTGCATATCCTCCATGGCATGCCTCCATCGAAGTGTCATGCTGCCGGGGCTGAGGGTCTAGCAAACGAGGGTGCAGCAAACCTTCATCCCGATTGCTCACTCGCGTCGATCCTGCGATCTCCTTCGCGGTGTGCCCACAAACACTGAGCACAGCGGCAAGTAGAACCAGGAGTCTCCACGGGTCACTCTGCGACTTGCATGCTACTGCCCATCGGCCCAGAAGAAGCTTCTGGTTTGGCCTCCGTCTCTTTGCTGCTCTGCTACGCTCTTCTTCCACTTCGCATGACTGTAACTGCCGTCTTTTTGGCCCACATCACGCGATGGCATGTGCAGAAGCCCAACCATTGAAGCGGAGCCCAAGCGGTGAGCCTCAGCCTTCAAGTCGAAGCTTTTGGTAACGTTTGCGGAAAGGCCCGTTGCTAGCGTGGTTCTGTTGGTGTAAACCCATGACAACCATTGAATAGCTAGTCCGCAAGCCATTCCGCGGGTAGCACTGGTAGCCAAGTGTACAGAGCATGCGGCCGCCTCTTCCAGATGCCGCGGCCCAGTAGCGTTTCTGTGGAGGACTGCTTCCCAACAAAATTGCGATATCTTTAACTGTCCGTCATGTATTGTTATTAGCATTGTCATGATGATTCTTGGTATTAGTATTAGTCTTGCTATTATTGTCATTTCTGTTATGGTCATGATCATTACTATGACTAGGACTATGAGTATGGTGGTGATGGTGACGGTGATGATAGTGGTGATGAAGATGGTGATGATTATTTTCTTATGATGTTGACTAGTAATATTTGTATGATGATGATGATTACTATTATGGCGATGGCGATCATTATGATGATGATGGTGACGATGATGATGTTTGTTATTGTGATGTTCTTCATGACTGTTATCTTATTTTTAGTATCATTTTCCATTTCTCATTATTACCACTAGTGTTACTATTCTTCTTTTCTCTATTGTTACTATCATCAATAGCAAGCCCGCATCCTACATCTAATCCGGGCGGGAGAAGCTCTTAGACGGCAAGGCGGTTTCACGGACCCTCCGTCTAAGCTATCCCTTAACCCTAAACCCTAACCCTGCACAAAAAAAAGCTACACCCTAAACCCTAAACCCCAAACCCTACACCCTACACCTTAAACCCTAAACCCTAATCAGCAGCTTAGCTGCTGATTTCGGGTCGGGGTTCGGGGCTGCCGCCCGGAGGAAGCTGCCCAGGAGCTTGCGGACGAGGCAGCACGGCTGCAGATTCCTTGATGTATATGCCCTTATAACCCCTAAACCCTTAACCCTAAACCCTAAACCCTACAACCCTAAACCCTAAACCCTGAAAACCCCCAAACCTCAAAAACGTGGTTCTGAGACTCTGGCCTTGGGAACTGGGGGGCCGGATCTGCCGTGCTTCTCGACTTCACAACGCTGGCACAAATGTATGCAAGGGTACATGGAGGTTCATGGGTAGTTATAAGTTAGGGCGGTTAGGACGGTTAGGGTTTAGGGTTTAGGGTTTAGGGTTTAGGGGTTTAGGGTTTAGGGGTTTAGGGGTTTACTTGGAGGTTCATGGGTAGTTACAAGTGGGGTTATAATTACGGCAACTATAGTTATAACCCATATTAGGGGACTTATAACCCATGAACCTCCAAGTAGATGTGGCTCAGTGGCCTGCTGAGTCATAGGCTCGAACTTTCGTCAGGTGGGCTGGCACCTATGTTTGTAGAGTCCTAGGGCCCTGTGCTTTGCATGATCGCTCCAATTCCATTGTATCAGCACCTTCCAATACCCTCTTGCCCAACCCCGCGCGCGCGCGCGTGTTCTCGCAGGTCAGTCGTCGTTTGAATGAGGGAGCAACGCAGGCCTCACTGCGAGCCTCAGCTCAACACTGGTGGGAAGTCATGAATCCTCAAGCCCGTCACCCCAAAACCCAAAACCCTAAACCCTAAACGGCCCTAAACCCAAAACTCTAAACCCAAAACCCTAAACCCTAAACCATAAACCTGACTCAAACGACTGCTTTCGATCCTGAAATGGGACCTGACGAACCCGTACGTAAGAGATCGGAGAATGAGACATTCAACCATGATTGTCCCACATCTGCCGATTCTGCTGCCCAGGAAACATCAACACCTCGTCCGGCGGCGACGCCTCCGTCAAGAGCTCCCTTGCTAGCTGATTTTGTGTACTTGAATGTGGCAAACTTTGAGCTTTTGGGGGTTTGGGGTGCAGGGTTGGATGCAAGACCATGAACATGACACCTAGGCTATTTCTCCGTCGGCAGCGAGGCTGCGAAGAAAATCCATAGTCTCGCCGCTCGCAAGCTGCAGGCGGGGTGCAGCTTTCAGCATGCAGTCTTAATATTCTGGAATCCGAAGACTTAAACCCCCCTAACCTGGACACCCAGACCCTAAGCATCCCTAAACCCTTGGAAAGACCGTATGAAACACTAGGAATCCAGGGTAGACCTGAAACCCTAAAAACGAAGCCTTCTACCCAGCCTTCTACTCTTGACCCTCAACCCGAAGCCCTAAATCCTTTATCCTTGCCCTCTACCCACAACCCCAAAACCTGAACCTTTACCCCAACCCTCACCCTCTACCCTAAACCCCGAACCCTAAAACCTCAACTGAGCGAGGGCTCGTTGGAGTGCTTGAAGCAGAGCCCGATTGGCGATTGCCGAAGCCAGGCAATCGCCCCAGCTGTGGTGCCAGCGGCCATATTGCTCCACGTTTGCTTCCTGCTACTGGAGGTTTAAGCCTCCAGTCGGGCCTGGGACAGATGCCGATCAATAGGGCCTTGCCGTACCACGCACGTCAGGTCTCGGAATAAGTGTGCCCGACCAGCACATCACTTCCGCAGTGGAAAGGCAATACCTTTCTTGCAGGTTTAAACCCTAGACTTGGCCCGCGAAAGGGCCAGGCTTTGCTGGGACCCCCTCCAAGCCCCCTTGGCTCCTGGCCCTGGTCCTGACGACGACTCTGGCGGACGACTTTGGCAGGTCTGGAACGGCGGTCGGCTCTAACTAGGCCGGTGGGACGACTCTGGCAGGGACGGTAGGCCTGTGACGGGGGACGGCGCGCGACTCTGGCAGAAAGAACGGTTCGGGCCTGGACGGCGGACGGCCCTGACGGGGCCAGCCGACGAGTCTGGCGGGACGGCAAACACCCTGGGCCGGCCGACGCCGCTGACTGTGACGAGGATGGCGGACGACGCTGGGGACGGCGGACGACGCTGGCGGACGCCTCTCAAAGGGACGGCAGACGCTCCACGGCAAACAAAGACTGTGTTCGCGGTTGGCCACACTCTCGGAAAAAGCCCCCCGCCCCTTGATAAGGGGGTTGGGGGGTAGAAACCCTGAACCCTAAGTAGTCGAGTCTGGGTGGGTAGAGGTTGGTAAAAACCATGAAAAACCAGCTGAGCTGGAGCGAGCGGCTCGGGGAGCGTTACACCCCAAACCCTAAACCCTAAACCCTAAGCCCTATAAACCCTAAACCCTGAGCCCTAAGCCCTAAACCCTGAACCTGAAGCCCCAAACCCTGAACCTTAAGTCCTAAACCCTCAAGCCTTAACGCGCCATGCCCAGAATTCGCCTTCACTTGGGCTGTCGACG